AAAGAAGTTATCAATGAGAAACTGGCCTGTGAAGGATACGAACAAATAACACAAACTAGAATCAATAAGAACTTAGCCAAAGAAAATTGCAAAAGTCAAACCGGTCTTTCAGGATTACCAATCAGCAACCTAACTAAATCAACTCTAACAAAAGTTGAACTTCTAATCACAGTTCAATAACAGCTTAACCAACAAAGTTGCAGATGGCCAATTAGTCTATTCATATTACTGCTTTTCAGCCCAAGTGTTTGTATTGTTCCACTAAAAAAAAACCTGCTAGATCAAGGAAAATGCTTTTGACAAATTACTTGTTTTTCAGATATTGACTGATTTAATACTTAACAAGTTGTCATTTTTGCTCAATGATGAAGAAATGCTACAGATGAGGGTTTGTAAAAGAAAGTGAATTTAGTGATAACAAAACTTGTAAGTCAAGGTACAATGTCTTTACTCTTAAAGAGACTTAATTCTGCTACATCTGCAAGGATCAATTTTAACACAGCATGGTATTATTGTTATAACTTCAGAGGGTTTTTTACAGCTTTAGATGGAACAAATGCTATACAAAACTTACATTGTACATCTGGGCTATAAGCACAAGGTTACTGAAAAATATACCTCTGTAATGAATGAAATTACTTATCTGAATACCATACATTTGAAAGCAGTGATAAATTTAACCTTCCACTTAATGACAACAACGTACAGAAAGTGTCGCTGACAGCAACTTAACTAACTCAGCTACAACAAAAGTTATAGCATGAATACTATTTTGAACATAACTCAGTAACACTTTGTGACATTTGCAGAGAGAAGTTTAAAAAGGTGCAGAACACATATTTACAGAAAATGTCACTGACTGTTGATTATTCTTGACCAATTCTTCCTACTATTTCCTCAGATCTTGAACATAATGAATTTTTAAGACAAAACGTTAAGGACAGCATCAGCAAATATTTTGGTTACACTGTTAAATCATAAATAAATTAGAGAGAGATTAGTGTGCTTAAAGAATTTAAAAATAGGTATGACCTGTGATCATGGATCAAAATGGTTGTGTGAGTAAAACTTTCAAACATGTCCAAGATAGTATTATTTATTTATGTGTAGATTATAGCCTAATAAACAAAATTTACAACCTGAGCTGAGTGGAATTAAGCACACTCAAGAGGAAGCCTCCATTGTCCACCATCCCAGTGGCTAGGAGCTGGTAAATGGTAAGGACTCCCAAACTCCACTGAAAACTGAAAGAAGGGAGGTAATGCATTGAAGAGTTTGGAGGAGTGCAACAAGTGACCACGAAATTCTATTTTGAAAAGCAGATTGTTCTGGATTCAGTCAAAAGAAGGAGTAGTAGGGATGGGCAGCAATCCCCCTCTGCTTTACTTATGTTAGTCCATGAGTGTACAGTCTGGGCAATGGTAGGAAGAAGAGTGCCAAATGGGAGGGATGAACTGCATTTTGGTGGAAATCATCTAGTCCATAACCTGGCAGCATCTGGAATAGTACATCAGGTTCATGGTAGGAAGAGTGTCTATACACCATCTGCACTAGCAAAACACCACAACTCTACTCTCAACTTGTTATGCCCTCTATATGCACAAATTTTCGCTTCCCATTAGCTTTGTACTCTAACCTAACCTCACATGCTTTCGTATGAGGCAGCTGTGTGATAGCATGCAAATGAGCAAGTGACAACCCTCCACCAATAGGAGTATGACACAACATCCTGCACAGCTGACTCCCTCTGTGCAGCTTAGCCCAACATCACTTCGAGATTGAGCAACAGAAAAGGAAAAGACACTGGAAGTGGGAAGGAAGGGTGGGAAGTGTGAGAAGAGGTAAGAATTTATCAGAAATACATTTTCAGTATAGGAAAATGTTAACTTCCAATATGATATCTTACCCCAGAGTGACCTGGTGGAAGGACCGGTGTAACAGTACCTAGATGAGGTCCCTTTAGGAAGTGCCCAAAGGAATTCCATGGCGCTTGTGAATAAAGAGTATGTAAGATACACTCGTGAGACACTGCACCACTTCTGAGTCACATATACTCTTCACCCATGAAAATGATATTTCACTATAAGGGTGGAATCATAAGGGGACCCTTGGTGTAGAGTTGCTAGGGTGCAGTGGACCGTAAGGGGGAGTTCAACCTCAACTAACATCAGTAGTAGCAATGATAGGAATATCCAGCCTATGGTAGGAAGAGGGTCCTCTACCATTCACCTTGGATGTGGGAACAGGAAAGAAAGATCTTCCATTTCAAAAACCAGCATCATCATGTATACATGTCTAACATAACTACCAACATCAGGATGATGATAGGAAGGCAGAGAGCAATGTGACAGTTCAACTTCAGTCTAGAACCAGGCAACATTGGGAATGAATTGTTCAATCCACAGTAGGAGGAGGGCATCTGGGTCACTCACATGTGAGTACTTATGTGGCTGGTCCAGCTCCAACCAACACCAGTACCACTCTGAGAACTGCCATCCGGGCAATGGTAAGAAGGAGGGTGCCCAGCAAGAGGAATGAACTGCATTTAGATGAAAATCTTCCAGTCTATAACCAGGCAGCATCTAGAATAGTACATCAGGTCCATGGTAAGAAGATTGTCTATACACCATCTACACCAGCAAAACACCACCACCCTACTCTCAACTGAGTGGAATTGAGCATACTTAAAAGGAAGCATTCCATGGTCCACCACCCCAGTGGCTAAGAGCTGGTAAATGGTAAGGACTCCCATGCTCCACTGAGAGTAGGGGTTTATGCATTGGGGAGTTTGAAGAATGCAGCACCAAAGAGAATGCAACAGGTGACCAACAAACTCTATTTTATAAAGCAGACTGTTTTGGATTCAGTCAAAAAGAAGGAATGGTGGGTATGGGTAGCAATCCCCTTCTGCTTTACTCATGTTAATCCATGAGTGTACAGTCTGGGGCAAGCATATTTATGATGTAAAACACTGCAAGAAAAACCTACAAGCAGTCTTGCAGAACACCCTATCTCAACAGTGGGCATTATTGACTGAAATGGTTGTATAGAATGGGTTTAAGAATAAGTATACCTGGTCAGGCAGCATTATGCCACTTAGGGAGATTCATATAAATGAGAAAGGTCCCTGTAAAGAAGAAAAGTAGAAAAAAACACCTAACTACTCATAGGGAAAAACGTGGAGCTCAAGATGACGACAAGTAGACGACAGTAGCCTGTAGAGCAGGAAATGGCCAGACGATGAAGATAATGTGAAATAAACATATGGGGAGCGGTTCGCATCCCAGCATGAAATATATACTCTAATGGACAACAGGACAGGGGCATAGTAAGATGACAGATTTGATGAGAGGAGACTTGGAATATATGACAATTATCAGGAGACAGTAAAGAATAAGTCTGACCAATCCCACCCATAAGAGTAATAGGAGAAATATCACAAGAAAGGGAAGGGTTTCAATGAATGAACAAATGAGAATGGGAACCACAGAAGGGAGCAGTTTGAGTCATGTTAAAGTGGATAGTCCAGACAGAACATAAGAGGCGATCCAGATTGGAAAGATGATAAAGAGGAGAAATGGAAGGGAGAGAATGAGGAGTGAAGGTGGATACTGAAAGCTCCTTGTCGAAAAGCCAGGTAAGGAAGGAAATTGGGTGTTAGAGAGTAGGACGGGACAGAGGAAAACTATGACAAGTAGACTAACAGCAGTATACATACCAATTATATTGGTAAACTGACATGAAGAAAGGGCAAATGAAATGGGAAATAAGGGAAGCAACCAATGGGGAAAATCTGGCCGGTCTGGCAAGGGACTGGACAAAAGCCACGTGTGAAGATGGATTGAGGGAATGGAAGAACGTAGCACACACGAGTAAGGATATCGGAGGAGGGTGGATGGGAGAGGAAGAGAATGTGTCTTTAGGAGTGGGCATAGAGTGGAAACCATGGCTACACTGGCCAAGAGGTGTCACCAAGAATGGCATGAATGAAGGATAGGACATGAGGAAGAAGATGGGTGGGGGATGGGCATAGAGGGAAGGGGCCCCCAATCTTGACTGAAGGCATCAATAGCTACAACCAAAGAATGAGGAATTGGGGACCATAACCAGGGAAGCTTGGAATTCAGTTTGATGGCAAATGCATCCAGTTTTGGAGTATTCCACTGGGAACAAAGCCAGCCAAACACCTATAGGTTGATGGACCACTCCGTTGGAAGAATCTTGTTAAAGCACGATAAATGAACCTTGACCAGATTCAGGACACCTAGTATATGATAAGCCAACAAGCGAATGTGATAGCTGTGGGCCCAAAACAGGTGGTCCAACATGTGGAAACAAAAAGAACTCAACTGAGTGCACCCCTTGCAGAGAGTTCTAGAGAGAAGAAAGGTAGGGAACCAAAGCCCAATGGACAGTGAGCAATTTTGAGAGATTTATATGCAGAGATGACTGGTCAAAAAACCAATGACCCAAAAGCTGTGTGTCTAGATACACACCCCAACCCAAAAAAGGATGACGTTGTAACGTCAAAACATGTAAAGTCGTCAACTTTTTGAAGGCCATAGATAGGCCTAAATAAAATGTTTTTAATTGTGTACCAGTTTAACGTTGAATATTATTTATGATTTTAGGGTCCATAAATACTCAATTTCATCATCTCCTAGTTCCTTGATCATTTTAATGACAATATTCAACAGACCTCCCACCTTGCATATCTTCAATGTTCTTATTGCTCTTTGACCTTCACTCTACTAATGTCTAATAGTGGGCTTGCTACTGGTGGTTTCTCCTTCAATCCTTCTAACTCATTTTTGGTGTTAAGTAATTCCTTGTAGTACTGTTTCCATCTCTGTTTTACTGCCTTTCCATTTGTACTTAATTACTTGGGTCACTGTGATGTCTCTCTTTGCCATTTCTCATTGCTTGGCTATTCTGTGTTTCTTCTTCTCACCTTTTGGTATCTCCATGTTGTCATACCAATTTTTAATTGTCTCATTCTTCACCACTGCTACAGCTCTCTTCACCTACATTTTTACTTTTTTTGTACACCTTTCTTGAATAGTCATCCTTCTTTATCATTCAAGGTTTCTTTCTTTTCTTTGATGGTTTGTTGTACTTTTTTGCTCCATCACCATGCTTCCTTCTGATTGGGTCCTCATCCTTTTGTTTTGCTGCTAATGTTTTCTGCCTATTGAATCCGGCATTTCTTCAGTACTTTCCACTAACTCTCTACATTTTCAGCAGTCTTTTGAACTTCCTAAATTTTTTGCTTCACTGTTTCTCTGTATTTCTCTTCTAGCTCCCACACCTTAATTTTCTCAATTCCTTTCTTCTTGCCACTCTCATTCTCCATGTCCATTATAAAAAATTCTATGTTGCTGTGCCACTGCTTCTCCTGGTATCACCTTTTCATTGAACACCTTTTTCCTGTCCCTCCATCATACTAAGGTGTGGTCAATCTATGTTTCATTCTGGTCACTCTTGTATGTAATGAGGTGCTTCTCTCTATTTTGGAACCCATTTTGTGTCAGGAACAAACACATACTCTTTGCCATTCTTAGCAATCTCTCTCCTTCTATGTTACTTATTCTACAGCCTATATTCATCAACACTTATAAAATATAAATTGTCATACAGAGAGCTGGGTATGTAATATTAACTAGCTGTTCATGGGCTCAGTCACATCAACCAGCTTCAGATCTGTGAAGCTATACATACTAATTTTTACTATAACACTTGAATTATTCAAACATATTTTCATGAAATTTACCTATTAGCAAACATCAAAAATCTGTAGTACAAAAAAAAAGTATTACTACTAAAGATCTGTATTTCAATTTCTTAAGCCTTTACTGAGTCGGTTTGAATAAAAAGTGACTTTCATGCTTATAATAAAAATTCCTATTTTCAAAATATCCATACACTTACATTATTAAGATACATTCGGATTAGGGATTTAGAATTTCTAACATGGGGATATCTCTTGCATTTAACAGCAATGGGAAATCAATGGAATATGGATGAACTTGGGTCACCAGGACAATCCAGAACGTAACCTGGAATGAGTCATACTCCAGACATGGTAAACAAAGGTCAGTGGTAAAACTTTTCATATGCTCCAGGCAACAGTACAATATTTTATTAGCCTTAAATTGTTTCCACCATAATTTGGGAGGTTGTTAGTAAATCAGGCCTACCTATGTGTTTGTGTAGTTGAGAAACTGGGAGAATACCTTCAACATTTATTTCGCAGTTAAATCGTCAGGTGAATGCCAAAACAGAAATACATTCTATGTGACCTAGGTCCTAGCAATGAATGCACAGAAAAATTGAATTATAGTATTACGTGCGATATATGTCAACAAAAATGCACTGGAGAAGCTGAAAAGCCAATCAGAGTAACCCATATGAAACAACTTTGTGTTATAATGATATGTATATGTATACCATAAATACACATGAATGTCCTGTGTAATTATTTTATAATAATATGTATTTGTATTCTAATATTTTTTTAAAATTTGAACTTGTTTTTGGTTCTAAATGTTTTAAAAATTTCTTTCTTTACTAACTAACTATGCTTTAAAAGATAATTATTATATTAAATTGTTGAAATGTGGCATCATCTATGATGACTCTTAAAAATACACTGCCTTACTTATAAATTATATCAGCTCTTATATATATTTAAAGCTACTGTTGTAATAGTTAACTTCCTGGAAAAGCTGTAGTTGAAACAAAGAGAAAAAGAAAAAGTTTTTGCTGGTCATGTCATTACTTTGTTTACATGTTTACGCTCCACTGTATAGTACTGTATCTTGTTTGTTTGTTTTTGAATTTCGCGCAAAGCCACAATAGGGCTATCTGCACTAGCCGCCCCTAATTTAGCAGTGTAAGACTAGAGGGAAGGCAGCTAGTCATCACCACCCACCGCCAACTCTTGGGCTACTCTTTTGCCAACAAATAGTGGGATTGACCGTCACATTATAATGCCCACACGGCTGAAAGGGCGAGCATGTTTGGTGTGATGGGGACTCGAACCCGCGACACGCAGATTGCGAGTCGAGTGCCTTAACCACCTGGCCATGCCGGGCCGTACTGTACCTTAATTTCAGACTTCTTACCTCTTTGATTCATAGGATAGAAATTAGAGCCATAAACCTTTAGAACAATGTTACTCATACCTTATCTCTTCGAATCACAAGATGCACATTGGAGCCCAGAGCATTTAGAATTCCACTTAACTCAACAGCAATATATCCAGCCCCCACAACAACAGTTTTTCTGAAAGATATAAGTATATGCCTGAAGTTCTCTAACTTTATTATTGTCAAGCTTCTACATACATGATTGAAAGTTTAAAATCAAATTTTATATACCAACTTAGCTTTATTTATACATTAAACTTATGCAGTTTCACCATATTTTGCTTATCAACAAATCTAACATTGTTTTTAGCATTTTTTTTCATTAAATAAAGGCCATGTACATTTCACCAAATTTCCTAAACCAAGACTAAGGCTATTTTCACCTGTTAGTGACAGGGTTGAGTAATATGGTTACTGCATGGTGCTTTTAAACTGCATTGTTTAAAAACTGTCAATCAGACTTACTTTTCAATATTTGAGTTTTAATTATCATTTTGCATTGAAATTATTAAAGCATAGGAAGATCATAAAACAATTTCACAAATTATCATAAAATATCCAGTTTCACTTTAAACTATTCTTTGAAAGAGTAATAATTTATTTGCTACCCCTCCCCTTTTTCAAAAACCTATGTATTTATAAAATCCCAATATCATTTTCTTTAAATACTGATGTTAAAAAAAAAAAGGTTAAACATTTTCTTGAGAAACAGCATAAACATGTTTTTATCAATGCTGGAATATTTCCATAATGTGATAGAGAAAAACAATGAATTTGTCTTTTAGTCAATTTTATCTCAACAATTTCCATTCAATGAATAATCAAGTTTTTCTACAACAGCAACAAGTTTACTTGAGAAATTTGATACGTTTTAACTTCTTTATTTTGCTAGTTATTAGGGAATATAATAAGATCTTTCTTTCTTTTTTATTTAAACATTGAAAACAATTAGCATACAACAATGAAAGAATCACTTGTTTAGGATATAGGTATAAAAAGTTGTTTTTATTTCTTTTTGATGATGAAACAGTATGATGCTTTACCAATACACGCAGGTATACAGCTTGCACATAGAAGTGCCGAATCACAAAAGAGGTCTTAAGAGATAAATCTCAGTTGGACCTGGTGATAAATTTCTTAAAGCAAACCCTGTTTACCCAAAACAAAGAAAGGTAAAGATAATAGGGTGGGTGGGTATAACTTCTGAACGTGAAAACAAATTGTTGTTCATATCTGTTATTAATATGAACATGGAAGAAAAGAAAAACAGCATGAGTGAAGAAATAAAACAATATCTTTGTTCATTATAGTATTTACTTATTTACTGGTTTCTTGTTAACAGTATTGCAACTGACTGCAGAAGCTGGGGAGAAAACTTCCAAAATATCTTTCCAGGACAAGGATCAAAGAAAGAAATACCACACTTTTAAGCCAGATCAGGATCAGTGTGGTATCCCACAATCCTTAGGTTAATTACAACAATGACTATCCCAAATAAAGATATAAAAATGGAGAAAACCACAACATGCTAACCTGTATGTGTAGGGCTTCTTATTTTTGGTTTTAACCTATAAACACTGATAAAACACCTGTGACACAAAAAAAATTAAAGGATGATTTCCCAATAAAAACCAGAAATGGTTATTTTGTTTACATTAATGTCCTCACTTTCCTGAGTCACTGTACTCACGAGATTTAACCCTTTCCATACAGGCTTGTCTGTTACTGCTAAGTTTGTTTTCATAATTTTATATAAAATATTAGATGCTCACACAAAAATTTAACACAAACTAAGTTTTGTTCTTGTTTTTACTCCCATAAGAGAAATTAATGTGCAGAGAATATATATTATTTTAGTACATTCATTACAGTACTAAAGGCAAAAATTCTGAAAAAATACCAATTTTAAGATACTTAAATAAAAATATAAAACAGTTAAAAATAAACACTGATTTGTGAAACAAGTACATACCAAAAAACAGAAGCCCTAAGTATGTAGCAACCCTTGTAATGGGCTTATTCCAACACACAGAATATATATATTCTATACTAGCATTAGATCAGTAAAATATGATATTAACATCATCATACATTCAGACCCAAATTTTAAAATCTTTACATTAAAGAACAAAAGTGATTTGTAGCTTAAGGAAATAATTTTAACATTATGTCTCAAATCTTAAGTTTGTTTGTTTACTTTTTTTGAGAATGCATTTTCACTTTAAGCTAACTATCTTGTTTCTGTAATTTTTTGAAAATCCATATTCCTCCTTTTTAAATTGTTTCTTTATTTTTTTATGTCCATCATGGATATAAATCTGTACAATAAAAATACTGTCCTATTTGAAACAGTTTAGTTTAATGAAATACGTAGTTGGTGTGTGATACTCTGTCAAGAAACAATAACAATAACCTTTGGATTGGCTTCATGCAGATTGATGGCTATTGCTCCTGATATCATTTCCAAAATATTATCATTAAACGTGTGTACTGTATGTATGATCACTATGATGCATGGTGATCAACATACCATGTTACGTATATGTTTGTAAAATATATATAGCTACTATACTTATACCCTGTAGCTATATGTGAAGTCTGTAAACACTGAATTGGAGGGACTACTGAACTATACTGGAATGGTGCATGAATTGAATTTTGTAACTGCATCAGTTTTATACATGCATGCACATACAATGCATGTTGGCTAGTATATATATACAAACATGCAGGCTTTATAGTTTGTCTCAAGTATATATATTATCTATATATATAGATAGCCATAGGAATGTTTCAAGTTGTATGAATGATTGCATATATATTCAATGCAAATACAAGACAATGTGTCATAATATAATAGGATATGTATACAATTAAGCATTTTTCATATTTCTTAAGAGTTGTTATATTTTCCCCTTCCTTCTCTCTGCTGACCATAGTAAGGCTGGTCACAGTTTTGCTGCAGCTGGCCAGATCTCCTCTTAGAGCAGCATTCAGCACACTCTAGAAGGTCAAAAATATGTTAATTAATAATTATGAATTGGTTACATTAATATACTTTTCCCTCCATTTCTGATGGAATTTGGGTTGTGACACTTCTATGACCCTCTTCCACTGTGATGACTATAAACTTTGGTGGGCTGTTGCTGCTGCATACTTTACCTGAAAGTAAATATTTTCTAAATAAAATATATAGCTAGAAAATTTATGCCTGATTTTCACCTAGAATCACCATAATTTTCATCATCTCTAGCTTGCAAGATTCTTGCCACTCCTTATAGTCAGCTTCAAGGATGGCTACTCTATCTGCAGTATCTATAAAATTTGCAATCATCCAGTGACCGCTATAATTCAAACATATACCACCAGCCATCACCATGATTGCTAATCCAATGCTCAAAACTGAGCTTGGTGCTATCTTTTAAACTATGGCTTAAAAGATTTCTGTTGTGGGAGACAACCTAGACGTTTTTATAACATTTAGACATTTATGTAAGATGGCTGAAATTGATCATGCAGTAGTAAAAAAAAAAAAACTGTGATCCTGTCAGCAGCATCAGGTCCAAATGGCAGGAACCCTGTATATAAACAAATGATACTCAACATCAATACAGTTGCAATAATAAGTTTATAACTGCTATGGCACATGTGTCATATTTGCCACATAAACATTAAATTACATCCATGGCCTGCACACAACTATATACACATGTTAACATATTCTAACATTGAAAATGTATTTCCAATAGGTATTTTCCTCCTATCACCCAAAGCTATCTCAGCCTTGATTTGCTCTCAAAGCATTGCTAAAATTTCAAACAGTGCACCAGTCTTTTATACCCCTTTATTTCTGTGTCATTGCAGTAACATGTGCTGATCATGTGACTATCACACTGTGCCACCTATAATAGTGCAGGTAGCTCTTCGCCCAGTAAAGAAAGAAAGAAAGGAAGACACATAGGGAGTGGAATCAAATATAATACATGGCTAGGGGACCATATATGAGTAGGCCAAGTGCAGTACACCCAGGCAAAAAACATTCAGTGGAAGTGCCTTGTATTTATATCAAAATAACCAAGTGTGATCAGCCTGGGCAAAAAACTTCCAGGCAAAGTGCCTTGGATTTATATCAAAATAACCAAGTGTGATCAGCCTGGGCAAAAAACTTCCAGGCAAAGTGCCCTGGATTTATATCAAGATATCCAAGCATGGTCAGCCCGGGCAAAAAACATCCAGGGGAAGTGCCTTGGATTTATATCAAGATATCCAAGTGTGGTCAGCCCGGACAAAACATCTGGGGGAAGCACTTTGGTATACATTGAATTATGTCACGTGCAGTCCATCCAGGCAGAAAACATCCAGTGGAAGCACCTTGCATAGTAGTTTTCATTTCATATTTTGAACGTCATAAATTCGGAGATCAACAAGTGCAGTCCGCTCAGGTAAAAAACATCCAAGGGAAGCACCTTGTGATATGATGTAGTATGACAAGTGTGGTCCATCTGGGCAGAAAACATCCAGTGAAAGCACCTTGCATAAAAAATAATAATTGTGTGAACAAGTGCAGTCAACCTGAGCAAGAACATCCGTAAGAAGCACTTTGTGGTTATTGAATATACCAAGTGTGGTCCATCTAGGCAGAAAAAATCCAGTGGAAGCACCTTGCATTAATAGTGTACGTCATGATTAACAAGTGCAGTCAAACCCAGGCAAAAAACATCCAGGAAAAGTGCCTTGGATTGAGAATATTATGACAGTGTATAATATGCAGCATAAATACAATATCTCTCTACTCACCAAGTGAGTACAAGTGATGTTAGAAAATATGCATAGCTAATCCAAAGATAAAAAATTCAACATACCTGTAAATCAAATGTAAAGAAAAAGGTTGTTGTTTTTTAGTTAGTTAAGCATAAAGCTATGCAATGGACTATCTGTGCTCTGCCCATCTCGGGTATTGAAACCCGGTTTCTAGCATTGTAAATATGTAGACATATTGCTGTGTCACTGGGGTCCAAAGGAAAAAAAAAAAAAAAGGAAAAGTGGTAGACAATACCCAACCGAGGAAACACATTAGGTCATGCAAATAATGTGCAACAAAAGTATTGGGAGTAGTCCACATACTGGCTTGAATAATCTCTTCCAAAGAACAGTGGTTCCGAGCAGCTAAAGACATAGTTAAATGGTGTATTTCATGTGAAGAAACATTAAACAGCTGACAACCTTTTGCTGACAAGTTATGCATAAAGCTATACAATGGGCTATCTGTGCTCTGCCCATCTCAGGTATCGAAACCCGGTTTCTAGCATTGTAAGTATGTAGACATATCACTGTGTCACTGGGGTCCAAAGAAAGAGGAAAAAAAAAAGAAGGTGGAAGACACCCAACCGATGAAACACATTAGGTCGTGCAAATAATGCGCAACAGAAGTATTGGGAGTAGTGTATTTCATGTGAAGAAACATTAAACAGCTTACAACCTTTTGGTGACAAGTCAGAATAAGCTAGTCATATGAGTTGCCGAACCCAGTCAGTAAGTGTAACAGAGGGATTCCATGGAATAAAGAGGCAAGAATGGGAACCATGAAAGAAGTCAGTACAAGACATATAACAACGAGGTGAATGAACTGAACAAAGAAGGTGATCAGCATCTGAACAGGAGTATAAATGGGAAATGGAAGGCAAGGAAATAGGAGAGAAGGCAAAAGAACCTTCACGAGCAGCAGATGTCTTGGAAAGGAAGGAATGATTGGGATAAAGGAGAACATAAGAAGAATGTTAATGGGTGCAGGAAGCATTAATAGCATAAATATCAGAATGACAATAATAATCAAAGCTAGGAGGAGAAAGGAAACAGATCTTAGAAGAAAGATGGTACAAAGAACACTTAGCAATGGGTTCAAAGGGAAAATGAGCACTAGCATGAATAACAGTATTGGGATCCTAATCTGGAAGCACAAAGGAACAGGGTGAATGAACAAGACAAAAAGAATGGAAAAGAAGAGAAATAACAGGGGTAAAAAAAGATTTACAAAAAATGGGGGAAATGGAAGATGTTGGATTGGGCAGCCCGATAACTAGAAACAGTGGACATGGACAAATCCTAATCAAATAACCAGGTAAAGAACTGAGACAGTTGAGGAACAAAGAGATGGGAAGAATGAAAGCCATGGCTAATGGACCACTGTCAGAAGGTAGACCAATGTCTCTGATACACAGACAAAGAGGAAGGGCAAATGGCATGGGAAAGCACAGAAATTACATGAGGGGTTAGTCCCTGAGAGAGGAGCTGATGGACAGTACAAAGGCCACATGTGAATATCGAGTTTGGTGACGTTGGACGAAATATATCCAATCAAGGTTGTTGGAGGAGTGACCTGGAGTGAGGTAAGGGCAGGGATAGTTGTTCCAGTAGGAAGGACTTAGTTCAGACAGGACAGGAGTTCTGCAACCGGATTCATAATACCAGGAACATGACATGCCAAGATCATTACATTCTAGTTGTGGGCCCAGTACAGGAGGTCAAGTATTTGAAAAAACATGAGCCAGAACTTGTTTCCCCTTGTTTGTAGCTGATAACAGTGGAATTGTCAGAATGAATCATAACCACCCACCCACACAAGAACGGGGGAAATGATTGAAAGTCTGACTAACTGCCAAAAGTTTCAGGAGGTTGATATGGAAAGTAGAATCCTTGAGGAACACTGACCCAAACTCTCATGAGAGTCAAGAGAAACCCCCAAACCACCAATGAAGCATTGGTGAACAGATGAGAGTTGGGATGAGGTGGAGGAAGCAGAACCCACACTATGGTAAGAGACATGTCAAGCCACCAAACAAGGTTGGCCCCGATCCCTGGAGGAAGAGTGATAGGATAGTCCAAAGGGTCATGGATAAATTCCACTGGTCAAGAAGCATCTTCTGAAGGGAACACACATGCACTCAACCAAAGGGAATAAGACTTTCCAGGGAGGCCCACATCCCCAACAGAAATAGAACCTCTCAAGCAGTAAAAGAAGGAGAAGATAGTACTTGAGAGACCATCTGTTCCATATCCTGGAGCAAAAGTGGAAAAGGCTGGGCCCAACTGAGATAGGAATTGAAGAGAACCCCCAAATGAACAAGGTATTGTGTGGGGGTTAGAAAAGGTTTCTCTCCTTTGATGAGAAAATGCACCCGAGCAGACTCTCAAAGAAGGAAGTGGGTGTGAGTGACAGACTGGGCCTGGGAAGAGGTGAGCAGTAGCCAGTTGTCCAAAGATCCAATGAGTGAAGATGATATGCAAAAGAATGGACAACACAACAGAACACACAAGGAGCTAGCTGAAGCAAGACCAAACAGCAGTGCTCAGAACTGAAAGACACCCATAGTGGACAAACTGAAGATAATGACATAACTCTGGAGTGATGGGAATATGAAAATATGCATCTTTCATGTTGAATTTTATCATCAAAAGATCTGGTGAAAAAAAAAAAACGAAAGGAGAGGTAGGAATCTATAGTAAATTGGGGTGTTTCCGGAAAGGTATTCAGCCAGATGAGACTGATGAAGGGTCTCTAATCTCTTGTCTTTTTGGGGACAACAAACAGGTGGGAGTAAAATCCTGGAAGAATTGGCACCACACATTCGATAGCTCCTTTGTGAAGAAGGTCGTTGAACCCACACTGCTAGACGACTGGACAAGACATGATCTCGAGGAGGAGGAAAGGAAACCAGGATAGAAGATGAGGTGAAGGGCACTGGAACCAAAAGCAAAGGCCCTCTGACAGAACCTGTAAAACCCACTGATTTGTCATGAAGAGTTCCCAGATGGTTGAAAACTGTTGTAACCTAGCCCCCACCTGCTCTTGAAAAGACATCCCACCAGCATTAACACTGACTCCTGTAGGAATGGAAAGAACAAGCATAAGAAAGGTAACACTTGGAGTGGAAGAAGATGCACAGGGAACCCTAACAGGCAAAGACTAGGCAGCAACAGTAGGGCAAGACAAACAAGAGTCAAGGGAGGACAATGAGGAATATAATCCCTCCATATTGACCTTGGACTTCAAAGACTCAGAATGACCCCCAAATATCGTTTCGTGAAGAAACAGGCTTTACAAAGCTCCCTCAAAGAAGAAAGGGGGGAGACACCCCCACATGTAAAGCTAATAATCCATATTTTAGTAGTATATAAGTTTCAAGTTCTTAATTCTATAAGGCAGTATCTAAAAAAAATCCTGAATTTCCCCTAGTATGAGAAATGTAGCATTTTTTCTCTAGGTCTTCCCTCTTCTCTAATTTATATACAACCCCTCCGAGAAATACAGAATTTAAAGCAAATTACTCATTATCATATATTTATTACTCAGGCAAAACAAAATTTGTATGGCTTTCAATCTTATTTGTTTACAGAGCCATAAACTAGAAAATCAGATCCACTTACCACACCCACCTGTGATCTGCACAGAAAAGAGTACTTGTATGGAAAGGGTTAATCTCTATTCACTACCGTGGCAAAGAACATGACAGCAAAGAATATCAATTACAGCCACACTGTTAGAGTCAACTGCTCTGGTTTTCACCCATCATACTCTCAATCTTGCCCAAGATGGATTGAGAAAAAAGGGATACAAAGAATAAAAATTCTGAATAATATTTCATACTTTGAGGTAAGGAAGATTGTCACACTTCTTCAAAGATAAACTGCTGCACTCTCTACCAGTGTTACAGTGAGAGTATAAATAACAGATATCTGTTCTGGTTACAGTTGTTTTTTTTCAATCATTTCAAACCCTTTTCCCCTTCATGACTTAAACTAGTGGGTAAATCACAATGCACCCCTGTCTCTGGTTCCTACTGCTAGTATCAGTAGCATAATTTTTTATTTGATCATGTCACTTTGTAGAGATGAAACCTCATTAATATAATGAAATAGTTTTTTTATTCACCTACTCTCTGGTAGTGTGTTCAAACTGCTGATAGTGGGGAAAAAAAAGAGGGGACTGAACTTTGCATTTCAAATAATCTGCCTTTATATCAGCATGGGGCAAGATGAAGTAAATGTCAAAATGAGAACCCACATCAACCATAAATTTACATGTACGATTACTTCCAAAAGGAATTCAATTAATCACTCATATACTTTTAACTACATAGTTCAACATGTTTATGATAAACTTTCTCAATATCTCACACTAATGCACCAACTGCAAAGTAATCCTATGTTTACATGTGAAAACAAGTTTCCCAACATATCGCATAACTGCATTAAGTGTACAGAAACCCTTGCTATATATATATAACTAGATTCCACAATATCTCACTTTTTCTTTTATATGTAACCAAATTCAGTGTTTAACTTCGTATTATGAAGTGTACAGAAAACTTTTCTGATAACTTGAATGGCCTATTCCCGCAGTATTTCACTTCATAGGTATATATCTTTATTGCAATACACATAAATCAATAAAACTGTCTTTTACACTGGAATATATCACTGACAGTACAACCTTTTCTAAAACACTTGAATAGCCAGCATTGCTTTTAACCAAATGCATAATGATGACTATTATGCATAATATTTTATATTTTAACATATTCAAAGAAATATTTTTATAAAGAGCAATATTTATTTCGAAATGGTTTAAAAGTACTTCATTAAATCTAAAAACCAAAACACTTGTGAATACCAGTAAAACATGAAGCAATTATTACTTACAAACAGAATTAATTTCACAGGAAACGTATTCTTATTACTACTTTGTTACCTCTTACTTTGGAATTATCTGAAGTTCAAAAAAGCCATCACTTGTAATCCCATGTTCTGCTCCTAATGGGTAAAAATTAATACAACACTGATTATTTCTCTATCCAATAAAGCAGGAATGTTAATGACAATTAGTTACAGCTATATCAATATCACACACTTATGTATACACATATTTATCATTACTTAGTGACCAGCAAATTTATCACTTACAGGTATTTGTATGCTATCATCAATAACATGTGTTGTGAATACTTATTCATTGCTTCTTTGGAGACTTACTAATACTTTTACAATTAAATTCTTTGATGGGTGAATAAAAACATTTTAATTATCATAATAATGTTTCTTCTCCATACAAAGAGACATGATCATTTTTTATTTGATAATGTCTCTTTGTAGAGATGAAACCTCATTAAATAGTTTTTTTATTCACCAAGTGAAAGTTATAATTTCAAAAGTGTATCTATTTCCTTGCTGTCATAAGTGTACAAGTATGTTTATCATTAATAATTCACCTACAAATCTGGTGTGAATAGGTATCCAGCTGTATCTGTAAGCAATATTAACTCACAAGGACTATTTGCAGTGAACATTTATTCACTATTAATGCATATTTATGATTATTTAATATTATCTCATTGAAATGACTTCATGGCAACATATAACTCCAAATGTCTATTAAGGTGGTTCTTATTTACAGGTAATATTTAATGATAAAAATTCTAAAGTTCTCACTCTCCAATCTTATTCCAATGTACAAAAAACTAAATGACTTACTTCTTCCATTTTTTAACCATATTTAGAGGTTGCTCATTAAGGTTGAAATTATAGACTGCATTCGCCTGGTACCATATATAATGTGATATGAAAACACATTTGTTATGTATTATAAATGATTTATTTAAAGTGTATTATTATTATTTTATTGCATGTACAATAGTAAAAGTACATGGTATGAATGCTTTTCGAGAGTGCAATACAAATGAAGAAGGACCTTGTGTTTTATTGACTGTACCAAAGTTTTAGATAGACTCAAGCCTATGGTGTTTATGATTTTCTTGTGGTTAGTCACTTTTGCATTGTTATTGATTCCTTTTTGCAGTTAGGAAAAGCATCTTCTATGATCCTGCACAACTTGAAAGAGGAATTGTTTCTGTTCTTCTTTCTTTATTATGATGGCATTATACTTCTCAATAAGAGTCACAGCCCTTTCAGCATTGTCATTTACCACATTCAAGTATTGAACTATCTGTAGTGCCTCCCTGTAGTCCTCTCTACACTCCCATGACTCAGAGTCATAATCCAGAAATCCAGATGGAATTTCGAGGCATGTGAAAAAGTCTGTTACATTCTTTGTGACAAAATCTTACCAACATGTCCTCAGACTTCCTGATATTCACCTAGGTGCACTTTGGAGGATTACCCATACCTTCATTCTCATTTAGTGCCTTTAGCTGAATCACAGAATGCCAAACCAATTAGTTCCTGATTGAGATACTATAGATCTCCAGCAAATTTTTCACAGGCAGATTTTGAAAGAGCAGAATTCATCTTCTTATATTTAACAAGACATTGTAGGAAGTTATGATCATTATTAGGAGAAGAAATGGCATCAGGAGCAGCAAACCATGCCCAAAGAAAATTTAAAAAATCAAAACACATTTAAATACCAGTAAAACATGAAGAAATTATTACTTACAAATAGAATTAATTTCACAGAAAATGAGTTCTTATTATTGTGAATCAAAGGAATTGCTTTGCAGATGTTATGGAGTCCTCCTCCTTCATGGCTAGTAAGCTTACACTATCCCATGAATGTCCAGGTCTTGAGGGCATATAATTCTTTGGCAATCCATTATGCAGTATTTTAGATGCTATAAATCACACTCTATGAGGAGGGATGCTATCAAGAAAGGTTATGGCTAGTTCAAGAAGCTCTAGATAATCTCCTCTAGGTTGTTTGACTTGAAGATGTCTTGTAAAAAACTCAGTATCACTGTCCTTAACTTCTTCTATGGCTTCTGCTATTTCATCATGACCAGTTGCAATTTTATAACTTGAATCGAATTAAAATTTCAATATCTGAATCAGAGGAAAGCCCTATACAGTTTTTGTTACCACATGCCAAAACAAGTACTAAGACATGATACAGAATATTCCACAAGTAAAATGTGAGAGCATGAGTTATTTATACATGGAACTCTCCTGAACATTATGAATAATGTAAAATACTCTGAATACACAAATATAATGCAAGCTACAGAGTAAAATTTCAACAATCTTGGTCAACCCAAAAATGTTATTCAATATAGATAAAATTTGATGTGAGTTCCATATTTATATATTGAAACAAAATGAGAGGTGTGCGTGTGTGTGGAAGTTTTGAAGATTAAAACTTCAAAAATAAGGACCCCCCTAATGTCTATTAGTACATTTTTATCATTAACAAATCAGCATGCACAATTTTAGTGGACACATAACAACCTGTGTGTATGAGCATGCTAACCAGTAATAGCTCACATCAAATACTTGGTGTGGACATATATTTGCTTATGTCTATTTGTATGAATTTACATTTATTAAATTATCAGAAGTATTTATTGGGATCCCCTAAACTCTTATGTTTATTAATGTATGTTTACCATTTATAATTGATTTGGAATTCTTAGTGAGGACATGTATCAACCTGTGTCTTTTAGTACATTTTGAACATTACTAACTTGTATTAGTATTTAAAGCAATAACATTCATGCTTAACACTTTTGCAACAGGTTCATGTATTTAGCACGACATTTTACCATGTATGTTTAGGTACTATAACTCTGAGAATACTTAATGTAGCTTCCCAATATTTACCAAGCTTTCAGTAAACATTACAACTATTTCATAAATCAGAATTTTTAACTAAGTATTTCTACTAAAAATTTACTATAATTATATGGAATCAAATGTGCTGAATCCTCTGAGTGCAAAGTGATTTTCATCTTAATATTAAAAACAATTTTCTTCATATGAAAATTTTCAAATTTCATTGTGTAATCTTTAGAAACCTCTTTAATAAATATAATTTTTTTTTCAGAAAAACTATATATTTCATCTTCTGTTTTCTCTACCATAAATATATACAAGGTCAGTCAAATTGACTTACCTTGTAACCCCTATATAAAATTAGGAAATAAATTTAAATTGCCCTTTTTTCTTTGAAGAATGATGCAAATGGTAACAGGAAACAACTCTTTATCCTAAATAGCTTAGAGTTTGTAACAGTATGCATCTATTTATACTTTATTGTTTTATTGATCTTTGAACCATATCTAACTAATAATCCCACCATACAAGTTGTAAATCACTGACAAAGCCCTGTACAGAAAACTATGTAATATAATATGTCAATTGACAAATTAAAAGTTAACATTTTCCTAAACTGAAAATGTATTTCGATAGATACTTACCTCCTCTCACAAAAAGCTTTTTTGACTTATACTGCCCTCTACCAGCACAGACTTTTGCTCGCCACTAGCCTTGATACTCCCATTTATTTCTGCATACTACCATTCAAATGATTACAACTGGTGCTCTCTCTAATCTTGCACCTGTTAACCACTTTAAGATTGGTCAGATCACAGCAATCCACACCCTAAGTGGAAAAGATGGGTGAGAAATGTGAGAGGAGGTAAGGATCTATAAAAAATACATTTTCAGTTTAGGAAAATGTAAACTTCGACACTATATCTCACCTACTCTAACAAAAAGCTAAAATCCCACACTGAACCGGTGGAGGGCCAGTGAGAACATGGCCCCCTTTAGGAAGTGCCCAAAGGAAAACCATGGGGTGTGAGAATGAATTAAATCAATACACCCATGGGAGACCACACCACTTCTGAGCCAGGTATACTCTTCACCCTTTAGTAATGTATTGACAAAAAGGGCACAAATATGGAAGGCCCCCCACAAAAAAATTTACAGAAATAATGGGACTCCTGGTGTAGAGTGGCTAGGACATGACAGACCATAAATGGGAGTTTGATTTCAACCAACACCTGGAGACATTTGGAATTGTACATCAGGTCCACGGTAGGAAGATGGTCCTCCACGTCAGTGGTTCCCAGACTTTTGGTAATAACGGACCAGTAAAATTCCAAAAACATTTTCAGGAACTGACATTCCAAATAAAATATCTGTTAATTACACAAGAGAAAAATACGATATTTACAAAAAAAACAATTTTTAACAGCAAGAAGTTCCAAAATTGATATGGAGAGAGGGATTAGAAAGAGACCATCTCCCTGATTACCATCTCCTGGTAATCACGGACCAGTAAAATTCCAAAAACATTTTCAGGAACTGACATTCCAAATAAAATATCTGTTAATTACACAAGAGAAAAATACGATATTTACAAAAAAAAAACAATTAATTTTTAACAGCAAGAAGTTCCAAAATTGATATGGAGAGAGAGATTAGAAAGAGACCGTCTCCCTGAAACCTCCTGAGTGTCGAGATACACCCCCCAAACGGAAAAAGAAGAATCCCACATTGAGAAGGTGGAGGGGCCAGTGAGGGCATTATCCATACAGTAAGCTTCTGCATAGATCACAAGTGTGTCAATAGAAGATTGGCACCCTAGTGGGGAAACTGCACTACATCCAGAACAGGTATGCTCTCCACTCTGAACTTAAATTCTGTATCGTGGGTGGAACTGCACATGAGTGGTCATCACTATAGGCCAGCCCTAATCAGATAGCTGAGGTTCCACTACTCAGGGTTGGAATTAAGGGGTCTTGGTCCCTATATCCCATGTTGGCGATTAGGGTAATTGGACCACAATGTTATATCTTTTTATACTTATAAGTGGATCCCAACCTGTAGCTAGAGAGTGATGTATTCTGAGTCACCAGAATCATGACATGAAAGTAAGCAACACCAAAGAGGACAAACCTTCTCCTCCACCTGAAGAAGCCCAAAAGGCAAACACCTCAGGTTCAAAACGATGGGATTGTGTATGCCTTACTCAACCAAAGAAAACATAACTCATCCAGTGGAATTACGAACATTCATCCTCACTCCCCAACTAAGTAATAATAATAATATATATATATATATATATATATATATATAAATCTATATTCAGTAGTTTTAATATAGTACTGTTTCTGAAGTCTAAGATACACAACTGTGAATTTATTGTAACTCTCCATCAAATAAGGATGTTCCTGAATTACCCATGCCAGGTACATCACACCAAGCACCAATAATACCAGAGAGAAGAGGCAGACTGCACCTTCCCAGCAAAAGAGGCCTCTTGCCTCTAATGATATCTGGACCTGAGTGGAACTCAATGATTAGGAACAAACACTTTTAATAGGAATGAACCTGTTTCACAACAAATTAGTCAAGCAACTAGTATCATTGATTTATTTAATTTTTTTTACAATGGAAATTTTGAAAATAATAGAAACAAATAGAAGTGCCCGTTCTTTTTTCCCACTTTACTATTTTTCCATTCTCTAAACTAAACTATCACCTCTTCATTTCTTATACAATAAATTTTAAACAAATAATAAGTGTTTTCTGAAACTTCTCCACAACTTTTATTCTATCGAACTTTGTGGGAACAATTTTTTCTTAGTTTTACAAAGTATTTTTTAATTTGCTGAAATATTTCTGTGTCACTTTTCATTGATTCATACACTTTTGTATGTTCAGTAATAATGCTCTTTTTATAATGTGGCTTAACCAATGACTTATACAATGACATTATAACCTCTTTATACTTGTATTCAATATTTCTGTAGATACAATCTAAAATCCTATTTGCCCTGCTACTAGCAACAGCACATTGTTTGGATGGTTTAAGAAACTGATCAACCAGAACACAAAGATATTTTTCTTCCATAATAATCTTAAGGTTATAAATGTGTTGTAAATAGCTGTGTTATGTAGTGGTTTTTCACTATATTATAAATCATAAATTAACAAAAAAAACTTGTATCTCATATGGTTTCATAGTTATCATATCAAGTATTTGAAATGTACTTCAGATTTGGTGATGTTTATGAGTTCTTAATTTTTATTGATGCAAGGCCAAAAGTGGTATAACAATGAACACCAGGCTTAAATGAGTTAATCTTTGAAGTTTTGTGCCATCAATAGACAGAAAATGTAGCTTTTCTAGATAAGACTATTTAAGTACCAAGTGATGTGAAGAAGTTTGTAACAGAAGATAATGTTAAAAGGTTAAAATTCAAGGAACTTGTGTATGTTCATTTATGGATTTAATAGTTTAGAAGATATTGTCTCTAATAACACAATATTAACAACAGTGAAGATTGCAAGACCCTCTGCATAAAATAGAAACAGTAATAATACATGTTATGGTTGTATAACATTCATTTTTTGCTTTACTCAAGCATTTGTCTTCAATTGCACCATTTCACACTGAATTAATTTTTTGGATTATTTTGATTCTCAATATGTTTTAAATTTGCAAGCTTATGAATAACTGATTTTAATAGTTTAGAAGATAATGCCTCTAATAGCACAATATTAACAACAGTGAAGATTGCAGGACCTTTTACTAAAGTAAAAGATTGCCTTTTGCAAAATAATTCCACTGAAATAGAACCATTAGAGCAAAAATTCCAAAGCCCCTAGCAACTTTATGAAAAACAAAAGGATTTTTTTTACAGAAATAATGGATATATGTGATTTTGCATGTAAACTTTATACATGTATCTTTCTATGTTACAATTATTTTGTTTTGTTAGCTTATTACTAAGTACAATACTAACCTAAATCTCCTCAGCTGTTCAAACCTTGTGATATACTACTGAGATTATGACTGAAAATCATTAATAGTGAATGTACCCAATTGATAAATCAGTGTATTCTTATCATTGCAAGTTTTTGTGACTTTGCATACACATAGTTAGATTTGGCATACTAAATTAGATATATCAATTACTTGTATAATATTTAGTTCTAACCTTATGTAGGTAGGTAGCTTTGATTAGAAGTTAATGTGTCGATAAAATATTAGTAAAAAAACACAACAAATATACACATGTGTATGTCATGCAGAAATACAAATAAATGTGTGTGTGTATATACAAATATAGGCATACACACAACAAGTGTTAGACTTTCTTCTTGTCTTTACTATATGTTAATCTATTATTAACTCACCAGGAAAATATGTGACATTGAAATGCCCACCTGGATGTAAGCATTTGTACATGCTTACCATAATTAGCTTATAAGGAATATTTGGTGTGGACATGTATCCACCTATTTTCTATTTAGGTTAGCCATGATTACTTGGTATATACTAGTACATATATCCAACTGTGTCAATTATGATATGTTCTTCATTATCAACTCATCATAAATATTTGGCATACATGTACCTATTTTCATCTATTTTTTGAATTCAAAAATAATATCTGATGCTGACAAGTATCTGTGTCATTCAATAGATATTTACTCACCAGGAATATCTGGTATAGAAGGATATCCACCTGTAGCTATCAGAACATGTTTTCCACTATACAGTTTATCATTGACCTCTACTACTCGATCTCCAACAAACTTTGCTTTTCCTCTGATGAGTTCCACTTTGCTCTGAAATTTCAGAAAAAAATAGAAAAGTAAATAAACCTCTGATGTGTTTTCATAGGCAACTATCATTTAAAATGTAAAAATATGAACATTTTATTGGACATAGTGTGGATAAAAATGATGTTTCAAAGATATCCCCTCATTCTAATCACTGAAAACCAAAATTAAGCTACATATCAATTTAAAAACCTTTCTAACTAAGTAATTTTTGAGCTTATGAAACATTACTTCACTTATTTTCTATTTCAAAACAACTTTTTTTTACATTCTTTATTCAAATTCATAACATTAATTTTTTACTTTAATCAAGCATACGTCTTCACTTGCACCTTTTCACACTGAATTAATTTTTTGGGATTATTTTGATTCTCAATATGTTTTAAATTTGCAAGCTTATGGATAACCAACTGGATTTTACACTAGGTTAATAACAATCAAAATGAAAAAAAACAAAAAAACATTACCTTTATTAGATTATTTTCATAGATTCCATTCAGACGTTTCACATATTCATCTCTCTTCCTTTTGAAAGTCCTTTATAGTCAAGAAATTATCCATAACATGTAGACAATAAAATTCTGATTTTAAACCAATCAAAACTACCATTACTCTCCAAATACTATAATTTCAGTAACTTCACTGCTTATTGCCCAAGTATTGCAACACTAATATGTTCTTTTTTTAATGTCCATTGCTTTACATATTTCACTGAAAAAATATCACATTTTTTTGCTTCTGTTTAAAATAAATAACCATTCATGTATTAACACTGTGGTTTGAAATTGTTTTTATCCATATTTTTGAATAACCTACAAATACTTAGATTTAAATGAGTTTTTTTGCAAGTACATTCTCCAAAGGATTATAATACTTTTTACAAAAGAATCATGATTCGAAATTTCCATTTTTCATAGCACAATGACAATAATTCATATACTATTGTATTATAAGTTACAGTTTTTACAGTAGGGAAGAATAGTGCATAGTTTCTTTAATATTTTGTATGCTAAAAAATACAGTGAATAATTTGTTTATCAACTTTTTAACATATTAATACAACCCAATTCCATTATCAAACTTTTAAGTTATTTTTTTTCATAAATACATTACATTTACCTAAAATCTGTACTTACCCCCAATCCAGTTGATATTCTGACATAAGAAAACCATAATCTTTGAGGTCATGTATCATTTCAGCATGATGAGCACAGTAAAAACTCAATTTCTTTGGGACACAACCAACATTTACCTGTTTAGGAAAGTAACTGCAATATTATCAAATTTGCATAAAGATCATATTAAGAAATAATTAAACACTAAAGCTTGAGAGACATGGATGGGAAAATAATTCAACATAAGTAATTAGAGCTCAGACCTTTTCAAAACATACTTAATAAGTACCAGCTGAAGAAACAAATTTTAAATAACATCTGGTAAACTAAGTATATGTTATCAGTATTGTTTTAAACCCTCTAAATTTCTAAAATAACACATAAAAAGTGGACCATTACTTCTTAATTCTGATTTTTCAGAAATAAGACATTGATCAGGCTCTAATCAGCTTTTATATTCCTTTAATGTCATTTTAAACATTGGTAGTTTTAATTAAATAAATGACACAACACTTAGAATTAGTGGAGTTACCTTGCAATTTGAGTGCCTCATATATGTTTTCAACAACTGCTAAACATATTCACATTTTTTGGCTGTGGGAGCATTATATTTGTTTTTGTTTTTGAGTTAAGGGAAAGATATTACAGCTGTATGCCACTGTCACTAATTTTTAACTGCTGATCAGATGGAAGAGAAATGCAGGCAGAACCCAGTGCCAACTCTTTTACCAACTAATAATGGGATTACCTGTGACATTATAAAAATAAAATCATGTTTGATGGCACATGGTATTGAATCTGTGGCCCATAATTCATGAGACAACCATCCTTACCACTAAGCTATACTAGCCTGAGGCCATTATGTATTATAATGTGACAGATAAAGCTATTTGCTGGTCAGATAGTAGCCCAAGAGATAGCAGTGCATGCGTGTTGCCAGCCAATAATGGCAGAATTAGCAGCTTCTCTGTAACTAAAATAAACTTGTCCAGCTTCAGGTACATACCAATTGAGTTCCCACAATACATGATAGCTAACAGCACTTCCTTTGGTATAAGATCATGCATGCATTCTACTTGTACACAACTTAGAAATGTGAGTGTGTGACCTAGTGGCCTTTGGTTAAATAACAAGAAATAGTGATGCCTGTTGTTCATGTTCACTTTATTTGAGCTGAATAACAGTAGTTTTAACTTTGTATACATTTGTTACTTATTACATGTGATAAACATGACAAGTACAACATGTAACAAATTTGTTGTCATGTGTTTATTTTTAATATGAACGTTGTTTAGATTAAGTTTGTATTTAAAATTATGTGTAACTTATAGTGTTGAATATGTATTGCATGTAACAAATTTGTTGTCATGTGTTTATTTTTAATATGAACGTTGTTTAGATTAAGTTTGTATTTAAAATTATGTGTAACTTATAGTGTTGAATATGTATTGCATGTAACA